CACAGAACTACTTGCCCATCATTAGATTCTTGCAAGTTTTCAAACCAGTTCTTTTCAGACATCACATGAAAAGACGCACCAGAATCTAATATCCATTCATGCATGTGAGAATTAGTAGCTAGATTCAATTCAATAGTGTATGCGACTGGACTAGTGATCACATAGACTTCACCGTTTTCGGTATCGGAGGTAGAGGATAACACATTTACCTCATCTCTTTCCTTAACCTTTTGTTTTCCCCTTTCTTTATGGCAGTCTTTTATAAAATGCCCTGTGCCTCCACAGCCATAGCATTTTCTAGCCTTAGTTCTAGACTTTGACCTAGGTCTACCATTGCCCTTCTTTTTCCAACTATTACTACTTGATTCGCCACTACTTTGGTATCCATCATGACTGGCTTGCCTAAATTGAGTTCTACCCCGCATCATATGCAACTCTCCACTCCTCCTATCCTGTTTTTCAGCCTCATTTCCATCTCTTTACTCCTAAGAGAATCTACGACAATTTCAGGTGTTAACGTGTCCCTACCATATTTAATGGCATTCTTAACTTCTTTATAAAAGTCCGGGATTGAATTGAGCAAGATTATAGCCTTTAGGTCTCAGACACGGCTTCGTCACAATTGACAATATCTTGCACCAATTTGTTAAATACATCTAAATTATCGTCGAGATCCTTTGAAGGATCCATCTTAAAGCTGAAGAATCGTTTGAGTAGGTAGAGTTTATTCGGTGTAAATTTAAGCAAGTATAAGTCTTCTAGTCTTTTCCAAAGTTCTTTGGTGGTTTTTAGTTTTCCCACTTTTCTTAAGATAGCGTCAGACAAGTGTAATATTATTGAGGTATAGGCAAGCTCATCGGCTTCCTCTTTTTGTTCTTTTGAGATGTCAGGTGCAAAATTGCCTTCGATGGCTTTTGACACCTTTTGTTGGACTAATATGCATCTCATCTTTTGTTGCCAGATAGAGAAGTCCCCTTTACCGTTAAATATTCCCAAATCAAAATTATGTGTTGTCATTGGTTAACACACTAATTAGACCACACGAAATAGTATTGGGAAGCATGATAAGGTAATATCTTGTTAATTCTTAGCAAAAGTAACAATAAACCTAAACGCTACGTCCACCAAAAAATACCAAGCACTTAAATCAAAAGAACAAGCACTCAATTAACGCAAGTAATCCTAGTTCTAGCACAAGCAATGGTTACCCCTTCACGGTAACCCTAAAACCTAATGATCATCCCACACGATGATCTTGCTATTGCTGAATTTAAATAGATTAAGCCAATTTACCAGAGCGGACCTATCTGAGTCCGTAGAGCGGAGAAAAACGAGCTTGCTATTCAATTGCAGTCAGCGTCGTACCAGGGGCAAAATCGTCCAACTTTTTCTGTGTAACCTGAAACACAAAACAAAGTATATCAGCGCGTTCAGGAAATCGAAACAAGCAAGTTACTTGAAGATAGTTTTGCTGAAATGCCGCCCACGCGCCGCTGCTGCTCCGCCGTCGCCCACCCGCCACCTCACCAGGGGCGCCTCGACCTGCTGGTAATAGGTATGGCCTCCGTTTGTCCAACCGAGCTTTGGTTTGTGAGTAATTGAAGAATCTCAGATTCGGGTAAAAGGATGAAATCGCGAAAATCAACCAATTTTGAGCCGATTTTTGCCAACCAAGCTCTGATACCAGATGTTAGGATCTTCCTCAAGCTGCTCAAGATGATTTCCGAGCTCAGTTAACCTTTAAAACACCGAATCAACACCAAAACCGAAAGTACCCGCCGCCGACCTCACGAGTTCTACCTATGGTTGCTTTTCTTCCTTCTGCTTGTTGTTTGCTCACTCACAAAGAATGAATACCACACAGGTAAGGGTCACAAAGACACAAGCAAGAGGTAGACAAAATTAAGGAGTAGAATGCACGAAGAAGAAGAAGACACGGCCTCTCTCTCTCTCGGGTTCTTTCACAAAAACGGGACCAAGGAAGGCTACAAGAGTTACCAATATATATAGTAAACCAATGACAAACAATAAGGTAAGTTATACATATGGTAAGTGGGCTCAACTAGGGTTATGGCCCAATAGCACACCAACAAGCCACAAAAGTTTATTAGCCATCCAATAGGTAAAACAACGTTAAGTCGGGTCATCCCATTATTCGGTGTTGATTTATCGTTCAGTCATTCATGTCAACTGATAAAACTGGTTTACATCATCGCCCGGGAGGTCGTTTGACAACATGATGTCTAACAAATGTAATGAAAGATGAACCAACAATCTACAAGGTTGTTAATGATGTAAATTTCTTGAAGATTAATGCTATGTAGTACAAACAACGGTCTACATCGTGGTGGGGGCTGCAGCCACACAGTTTAATGGATAAAAATGCATTTTTAACTTCACTGAACAATGTGACAATAACTCCACTATACCTAGATCAGTGCTAACTATTGCAAATTGTGGCAAATTCCCTTTAATTTGTTCACTTGATCTTTGTTCGGACAAAAATAATAAGACAGCAAAATATACTATAGAAAAAATTATTACAATCGTATAGAATTTCTAGTTCACGAAAATCCCCATCATAAGAAAAATAATATCCTAAAGTTTACCATACCTACTGCCCCCACACTAAATTACAATTCCAAGACCATAAATTAAAATTTTTCAAGAATTTGCACGAGATTTTAAAAATATTTCTTATAATTTTCAATTTTGCCACATATTAAAATTTTGTGAAATTTGCCCCCCACAACTCTCTTTTATCCTAGCTCTGCTCTACGGTTACAAATATATGCTCTTTGATTAACCCGTAAACCCTTAATTCATGTTAACAAAAGAGGAGAAAAACACATCAATGTATGGATATATTACTACCTTTTTAACTTAATTTGCTCCAAGCAATTCGGCTGAGGATATGGAATTTTGCCAACTATTCATAGTTAATAATTGTTGGAATATCTTGCTTCCAAATAAAGACACAGCCAATAATACAGAAAAGGATGTCCAAATACTTAGTTTAAGAAGCCATTCTTCTTTAGATCTATAATTGGCAGGGTACGGGTATACTTACAAATTACGTAGCATGCACGTGATAGAGAAGGTCTCATAATGGTCGACTGTCAATTATATTTAATTTATTTAATTAGTGATAGAGAAGGTCTCATAATGGCCGAATGTCAATTAAATTTAATTTATTTAATTAAGTAATCTCGTCTTGTACCTCGACTCGGTTCAACAGTCCATCTTAAACAATTTCCTTCCCTCTATATATATGTGAGTCCATTTCACGTAATGTTAATTTAACCTTAGTCAAATCCCTCTCTTTTGTTTCTTGTGCTCATTGTCTCTCGTTCGATTGTTGACTTGACCATAAGAGTACAAAAGGTCGCTGGATCTATTTTTTGACCACTCTACCGGGTTACCTTTGTCTCCAACAGTGGATTCCAGAGTGCAAGCGGAGCCCACGCGGATGGGAAATGACCGAGATTATGTTGGTCACGTCATTCGTGCAAATATTGAGATCGAACGGTAATGGTAATCCAATTTGTCAATGATTAAATATTCATGATAATCGACGAGTAAGGGATATTGTAATTTGAAAGTTTGATGTGAGTTGATATTTATATATTTGGCACGTAATTTGTAACTTAGGGTGAAAAGGGGAAGATTGGATGAGATTTAATTGCTCTTTGATGAATATCTTGCAATTTTCATGCAATAATAGACTATTTCTTTAATGTCTTCGGTGTGAATCTTTTCTTTCAAAATTGAAGAATGCATAGAATTCTTTGGCCACACGCGATTAAAGGTTTTTGTTCAAATAATGATACCAGAAAGAACTGTAGAATAGATGAATCCGTGAAAATCATTGATTTTAATTTCATCGATCTCGCATAAGCAAATTTTATAGAAATTTCAAATACGCTGTTTTAGTTGAACCGTTTTACAAAAATAAAGCCAAGATAATAATGGAAAATGATTCTTATTTAACAACGACAAAATAAATGTAGAAGAGAGACGATTCAACTTAACAAATCCAGTCTTCAACGTCATCAAGAATCTATTAAAAACTATAACTTTAGCCCCAATGTCTTGGCGAACTAGAGGGATGATAATTTGTCCCGTCAAACTCAAATCCCACGGATACTTCTTTGGAACTAGGCGGCGCGACGGGAATCCCAAATCTGTCCCATTTTTTTAATTTTTAATTATTACAATTTAAATATAAATTAATTATTTATTAATCCCTTACTATAACATTAACACTTTGACTATATGCATGGAAGGAATGCCACATTGGATTAAGTGGATTTGTTGTCTTTTTATTTTTAGTCAATTAATGCAATTTGCGAAAAATAAAAATAAATATAAATATAACAAATTAAATATTAACATAGCAAA